GTGTGTGTGTTTTATAATAAATGTTACAGAAAGTGACAGGATAGCGATAGCGATGACGGCGATAATTTATAAAATAACTTATTACCATAATACATATATCTGTTTTATTTGTCATGTTCCTTCATGATTGCATTTTTTTATTTATTTCACACACAATTATAAAAGAAAAGTCTCAGATCGTTAATTAATCGTCAAAACTAAATTATCGGTTCAGAAATATTGAATTTCCTAAAATACATAGTTTACGAGATTACAATTATAAACGAAAATAATCGATCCAGAAATATTGTATTTCCATATCGAATAATTTCGCAACGTCACTATTTAGTAATTGTCATAACGTTGCAACACTGAAATTGTCAAATCTGGAATCGAATTAAAATTCCGAGTATAGTAAATGTAGAAAATCTATAAAAATATATCGTATTATAAAAATACCTATATAAATGCTTTAGAATTATTTCGAAGGCAATACGTTCGTAACTAAGTACATCAAAAAGCTTCACTAAACCGTAGCTCATTCTACAATTACATTCAATTTGCCAATCCTACGTTATACTCAATACTCAATACTCAATACGTTTATTGCACTCCATATTATTATGTTTAAAAGGTGTTACATAATAATATAGTACAGTATGGACCCTGTAGGGCACGGCAACGTAGAAGAGAGAAGGACGCTAATTTTATTTAGTATTATGAACGACTTACACCATTTTCTTTTATACTGAATTTCAGGATTACGAGTGTCTTTGGAAGTTCCTTATACCAGTCTACAACCTCGTTATGAATATATTAGTGGTCGGTCTAGTAAGGGAGCCTGACGTCGTCTTTGTTCCAACAATTCTTATCATTAGAAACTCTTTAGTCGGCTTCACGTCTACGAATGTTGTTATATTGAAAAACAATGAAACCGAAGACCTGAACTTTGAGTTCAAGGGCAATTCGTTGTGTAATGAATCCGGCAAGACGCCTGTTATTTGCGAACCTAATTTCGGAGTATTGAAACCGAGATCTGAGACGCCGATTAAGTAAGACGTTTTCTTCAGTAATTCGTCGTTTTATTGAATAATGTTTATTTTACAGCTTGGGTAGTATTTAGTACGTTACAACCTTTGAGCAGATAGAATCTGATGAACATAAAATGACTTGTAGAACACTTGGAGTACATAGAGGTTCTCTTTTTTAAAACCTATGTATTTTTTTCTTACAGCATTATTTACACGCCAATACAAGACGGTCCACTTTCATATAAGATATATTGTAATGTAACGTATCTAACAAAGTACTTAACGTTGTGCGTTAACGCACTGAGCTATTCCATTAGACCAAAAGTGACATACTATTTAATTGGCAATGAACATGTGCTTAACTGTGACGCTATAACCAATATACATTTAGAACAGGTATTTGTATGATATATCTATTCTGAAATCCACATACATATATCTCTATAAAATTCGTTGCTGTATCTTTGTCTTTTCGCGATAAACTCAAAACTATGTAGTTTTACGCAGTTTTGGCTTGTAAATACTTGAGTAAAGTTTTGAGTCTTTGACTTTTACTGCGAGGAAGGCCACGGATGGATATGATGATATTCTTTAACTGGAATAATAAGGAGTCCTTAATAAGGAGTTTATTCCTATTACATTTATTAATGTTCCTTCAGACTGCTTCCACGTATGAGAGAACCATCACCTTTATTATAAAGAATGATGGATCTGCAACGTTCTTCTTTGAATGGAGTTACAACACAACGTATGTGAAGAAGTACATGCAGCTGAGTATTGAGCCAAAGAGTGGGCATGTCACTCCCGCCAACGAAATTGAATGTACTCTGTATTTCACACTCAAGCAAGTTCCCGTACAATCATTCCCAGTTACCTTGGCTGTACGTAAATAATATTTTTTATTATTTAACTATTGACGTGTAAAAGTGCTGCTTTGTAGTCTATTTGCTTCACTTGTTATTTGAGCGTTTACTGTAGTATATACTGACTATTTCAAGTGGTTGTTTGGTCCCATTGTGGTGAGAATGACTAACTATTGTGCACCAGGTTTTGGGATTAGTATTAGGATCTGACAGATAATGTTGTGAGTGATATTTATATTTTTCATATTTATATTCATTTATCATTTGCAAACATGGGTACATAATATATAGGTGTTAACAAAGTTTACAGTTTCTCCATATTTTGCCTTCACTTGGCATGCAAAGATATGTTATAAATAATAATTATGTAATAAAATTAGGTCCATTGAATTGAATTATTACAAACAATTGTGTAAATAATAATGTTGTTAGGATACAATAATGTCAAAGAAATTAGAGTTATTCATACCACTGAAGTCAAAAATAATATCAAATTAGGTAAAAAATATAATGTAAAAAATTATTGTCAATTATTAATGTCGCACAAGCAATGTCAAATAAATTAAGTTAATCATTGACCATAAGGATTTTCCTCTAGATAGGTACTGATTTTGAGATTTTGCGGTGCATTACTTTTTTGTTTAGATTTCAGACGGTCCGGAGTACAGCATCTTTATCCACGCAGATATTGAAAAGCCTGCGTATCATTTCTCTTGCATGGACTATAATTTCTCAAAATGTTTTATCAATGCACCTGATTGTACGTACAAGAAGAATATTGCGTTGACTAATGATGACAAAGTTCCCATTATGTAAGAATTGTTTCATTCAAGCTTCTTGATATGTATCGTCAGTATTATTCAATAGATCCCATTTTCTTCTAAATTATTTTCATTTAATATACCTAAATATTACAGAATTCAAAGGATTTTAAGTGATATTGCAAAATTATTTTGTCTATTTCAGTGTAGCCTTAAATTTTACAAATATACCAGAGTTGGTGGTCGAATATGATGATGTGGCAAGTATCAAACCGGGAAAACGTTTGAAAATTGCAATAGACTTCCGACCGAAGCAGGTCAAGGAATATTTGTTCACTTTGCAATTTTTTGTGAACTCCCTGTGTGAAGAAATTGTCACCATTCGAGGAGAAGGTTTGTCTTATTTAACTTATATTAAGGTATGGGTAGTCCAGTAGACACACAGCACACGTTCTGTATCCAGTGCTGTGGCACCAGTACAAAAGAAGAAGCAAGATGAAACTACATTCACTACTATTTCATTCATGCATCTGTTCATAGTACTCTGTAAGAAGATCATCCCTCTAATGGCTGATGAGGTGGTCTCCTTTGTAAAGTTACTGCAGTTGTAGACAATGTATATTGTTGTTGATGGTCTTTGCAGGCATTCCTCTCCTATTCGATCTCTACGAAGGGTGCCAAAAGAGCTTTGATTTGGGCTACGTAAAAGTGGGCGATAAGTTAGTTCGTACTATAGAAGTGATGAATCACAGCAAAGTAGCGATCGAAGCCACGTACATATTCCGAGACATGTATCCTGTGGTAGATGACTCAGCTAAATCTGATACTACGAGTGTTTGCTTGAGTCCTGGGACAGCTGCTCAGCAACATGACGTGGGTCCTTCAAGGTGAAATCATAAGACTTATCTTAAAATCCTAATTCGACAATCAGTATCACGTTGCCAATCGACATTGTCGAAACGTGTGTAGACAGACAGTTACAGTGCTACTGAAGTCCTAAGTTGTCTTTTCGTTTTAATAGTATAGGTACGTATAGTTAGATAATGATACGATTTTTGTGCATATTACAATTGAAATTACTGTCATAGGTAGCTAACACTTAACAGATTAACCTTCCTGGTTTTTACATAAATCTTTACGACTCCTCAGAGTACAAATGTTACAAACATACAAAAATGACAAGGTGCGCCACCAAATCGCTAAGGACATACAGAATGCATTATCTTCTTTGAAAGTAATACCGAACAAGTGCACCATCCAACCGTATAAGAAAGTTCCCTTGAAGATACAGTTCAAACCAGTCGGAATGATAAGTACACTCAATGTTCAGGTACCTACTGTTCAAGGATAACCATACCTACTTAGTAGAATTTGGTACATCAAACTTTAGTTAGTTATTGTTTAGATTGGAAATATTTAGAGGACCTGTTTAATATTTTCTATTGTTTTAGCTAAATATGAAAGTGTTCCAATTCGAGCGGCCCTTGGTTCGTCTTAGTGGCTGTGCTACGGGCATGTTTTTCTGCTTCAGCCAGAACTCGTTGCAATTTGGTCGCGTGCGCAAACGTGGATGCAAGATACTCAAAGTGATGCTCCACAATAAAGGCGATTTTGGGGCCAGGTATCTACTGTAAAAGAGAACGTTTCCTAGCTAGTTATTTAAAATAGGTATCTACCTCAGTTAAATAATAATAAATACTGTTTTTGCTGAGTCATCTCTAACGCAATTGTAGAGCACGAGGACTCGTACTTCTTCGTCTTATACGTCTCAAATTGACGGTGATGATGATCAAATTTTCTTAAATACTATCTCTTCAGGTTCTGGTGGCAGCCATTGATCTCGAACGAGTTTATAATATCCCCGCAGTACGGCACCATAGCTGCTCACACCAACGTCACATTCACCATCACATTTAGGCCGGTCAATCATAATCCTTTTATTAAAGTGTGGGTATGTATTCTACAATAATCTTATTAAGCGTGTCAATATTGAAATTAGGTGCAGTGAGTTTGCTAGCAACTGTAGTTTTAGTTAACTTGGATTTTGTCATGATAGCTTGAACTCGAATACAAAGTTGATTCATTTACAGTACACAAGGGATATGCGATTCCCGGGCGGGGTTAGGCAAAATTATAACATGATATGTAAAATCACGATAGGTACCTACTTCATTTATATATGTTCCAGGCAAGTTGCAACATAGAAAACTACAAGCCTCTTGAATTGGCGCTGTATGCGACATGCGTGGACATGGGCAATGTACAAAACAAGACTCTGTACATGGAGTGCCCCGTGCGCGACATCCACACAGACTATGTAGTCGTCACTAATCCGTAAGTGTGACCATAGAGAATACCAATTATTTACCAACTATTTTGAAATAGCAAGAAAAACTTGTTGTTTTTCGTAAAGTTTGGAGTTTATCCTTGTATATTAATTTACAAATTAATAATTTATATTTAGAGGTGCTTGTTAGGACCGCCTCGTTGGCCGAGTGATGGCAAGTGCTACTACCAGGCAAGGGGTCTCGGATTCGATTCACGGGTTGGGCAAAGAATTACTGAGTTTTTAAAAAAATTCTCAGTAGTAGCATGGAGTCTGGCATTGTGCCCGGTATATGGCAATACGCTCACCCCCTATTACATGACATATATAGTGAAAAGTGATTGTTACATTGTACAGTGGCATTAAGTGCCGTAATGTGCCTCTGCCTACCCCTCCCGGGATAAAAGGCGTTATGTTTATGTTGTTGCCGTTGCACGCTACAATTCAAGAACATTAGTCACTCAGGTAGATTCATAGATACGTACTTACTTATGTCTTGTTTGTAGAACTGATGATTTATGGTTCGTTCTATCTGAAATATCTGGTGGACCATTCGAAACTTTGAAAGAGTTTCACGTTGAACCAAATTCCACGTTAGAAATACCGATCAGCTTCAAGCCGAAGACTCTTGGTAAACATGAGGTAACTTTGTTCCTTTATTTCCTTTACATATACCTACTTATATGTCGGAAACGTCCAAGGAAATTGGTAGAAATGAGAAGTATTCAATTTGTCCATAATAAAATATTGTATTCACATTGATGACAATCAGTAAAGTAATGTAAGCTTATTACAAAAGATGTTATAATATTACACTAGTTTAACATTTAGAATTGTCTTAAGAGGTGAGCGTGATCGCGTAACGACGTCCCACAAAGGAATGTCTGCCTGTCCCTTCCCTCTATCGGCGGGGTCCTAAAGCGTCCCTAAAAACCTCTTTCTCATTGCAAGCATCGCGTCCCGTAACTGTTTTTGTTTTAACAATGCTAATTTGGGGTACTTTTTTATTATAAAATTGGTGGTTTCAGAGATTTCAATTGCTGTGTATATAGTAATTAGTAGGTACCTACAAGTTTAAAGTTCTACAGTTCTTATATAGGGTGTAAACGGATCGCTCCCGAAACGCTGACTAGAAGAAATGTTTTTACAGTTTTAATAATTTTTGTATTCGTGTTATTCATGCAACATCAGCTTTGAACAGTTGATTACAACTATTATTACACAAAAGAAACATTTAATTCCTTACTTTTACGAAACTATAACTTGTTCTTTATCGTCACCGTTACGTTTTTCGGGAGAGTTCTGTGTACACCCTGTATAGATTCCCTTCCGATTTTCAGAGCCAAGTATTATATTCACCTCTTGGGGAAAACGCATTATTCGTCACTTTAACTGGAAATGCGCTGACTCCTAACCCTAATGGTACCATCGACGTAAAAGTGCCAGCCAAGGAACTCCTAGTTGAATTATTGTTAGTGTACAATATTACCGAGGTAAATAATATGTAATCAATATTATTTTGTATTCTGTGGTTTTGATGCTCTCTACTGCTTCGGCTCCTCAAAGCGAGAGTTCATTACCTACGTGCCTATCAACAAGTTTAAGTTAAGTTTACTTACGGTTTAAAGCTCTTGAAAGATGCAGTATTTGATCTACCGTCAAGCAAATTAGACTTCTCTAAGTGCAAGACGAGGAATCTACCTATATTTTCTAGCTATTTATTTATATCTACCGTATCTATCTATTTATTTTTTAGAAGTATGGCGATGAAAGATGGAGTACCTACTTATGTACTTACTTTTACTTTTCTGAAGGACAATGAAAACGGGACCTACCTACGTCACCAACTTGTTTTGTTTTTCTAGTTCCCCGAAACATATGTATCGTCGACGGAGCTGGTGAAAGTGGTTCCTGATAAATTTGAAGGCCACTACGAAGTTAAATGTGCAGAAACTATAAAAACGTGGGGAGAGGCGGCTGCCACGTGTCGCTGGACCTTTGTATGTTATGAAGAATGCGAAATGACGCTTAAAGTATGTGTCTACACATTTATTTAGTACCATAATGAATAAGATAGATTAGATAGACAGGCATCTACTTAAACAGTAACAAAGCAACTTGTGGTACCTACAAATACAAAGCAATCTGTCTAGACTAAAGTTAAAGATTTTATTTTAAGTTAAGTTTAAGATTTTATCTACATATTTTATTTTAGGTGGTATTCGTCAACCAGGCGAGTCGCGAATATCAATTCTACCTCATCAACGTGTTAGTGACTCCGAGCCTCATAGTGGACACGTTAAAGTTTGTCTGCCGTGCACGAGAAATGGCACAAAATGAACTCATTGTTAAAAATCCACTCTCTGAAGATGCGGAATTCACTATCCACTGTGAAAAACTGCAATGTCCCGATTCTTTGAAGATTAATAGGAATTCTGAGGTAACTGTTCTCAATGTTGGTACCCAATCATAAAAGTGATGTTAGTGAACTAGATCGAGGTCCGCCATGGAATTGGTTGTTAATATAATCTCGACCAAGGGCAGGCGAGAATGCGATCGAGCTCACTTAGAAAGTTCGAATTCCACTGCTGGACTATGGGCCTCCACTGCACTACTATCTTAGTGTACATATAATAAAATCGTAGGCGAGTGAAAACTGTACATCGAATATTTTTTTTTAAAAGAATGCTTTGGGTGTGATCTACAATCAATACCGAAACCAAAATATAGTGTTTAGAATTTTTGTCTGAACGTTTGTCCGGGATGAACTCAAAAAGTGCTGCATGGATTTATGCAGGTCGGGTCAACATATAGACTACATATTAAATTATCGTGCTATCAACTACGGGGGAGAAGCTGTAAATCACTATTCCGCACGGACAATGTCGCGTGCTCAGCTAGTAATATATATTTAACTAAAGATATAGGTATAATCTTATCTACCTAGATACCAACAGTCGATGTTTGATATGTCAAATATATATTTTTGTGATGATGTTCTTCTACTTAACCTGCCTACCTACCTAGAGACTCTAGGCTAGAGTTACCTATCATCAATAGCCTGTAAGTGCCCACTGCTGAGCAAAGCCTTTTCTCACACTGAGAAGGTTTGAGCATTGCATTAATCACCACGTTTGCTCAATGCGGGTTGGCGATTACAAACTTATAATTAGAAATTATAAGTCCAGGTTTCCTCACGATGTTTTCCTTTATTGTTTGTCAGTGGTGTCTACTGTCTAGATAATCTTAGAAAGTAGGTACATATAACTCGGAAAAAATCACATTGATACTTGCCGTTGGTAGGTTCCGAACTCTGATGCATGCTGCCCGCTTCTAATGCATGAGGCACCCGCCTCATTCATTATAGGCGGGCGTCTTAAGCCTCCGGGCCACCACAACTTGTTACCTTACCTAGGTATACATCTACTCATTAGGTACCTACAATTTGTTTTTCAGGCTGTATTGTCTATGACGTATTCACCATTAGTGGTTGGTGAATTAGAGGATCAGTTGGAAGTCTCTAACTTCATAGTTGGTACTTACATTTACAAAACTCTATTGAAATGTCTGCCTGCGAAGGAAAAAAATCTAGTATATGAAACTTCACTTGGGACTAATGTTCCTATCCGTCTCAAAGTGCAAAATAAAAGTGATGTGAGGTGTGAATTCATTTGTAAGGTAATTCTTTTCTAACTATTACTGCTTTCCGGATCCAGGAGAAGTCTGTTGTTTTACCTACTTACATACATACTGATAGACGTAGGAATGTAGGATATTAGGGTGGCATCTCTTATTAAAATAATACTTAGGTATTAATACACAGGCCCTTACTGTACTTGTGTAAGGGCCTGTGTAAATGTGAATACTATGGTAAATCGTAGAAGTGGGTGAAGTGTATGGCAATGTTAATTTGTTAGAAAAAAGTAGATGTTCATTGAGCACCTGAGTCGGTCAGGTAGACGCACCTGCTTTCATTACTCTTAAACTTATACTGCCAATAGAAAACTACTGAAGGCAAATCCCATGCTCACTGTCACCAGTGACAGTGACCCCATGGCGTTTAACGTGTTAAGTTTTTTTTCAAATGTTTTCCAGGTGTCTCATCCGTCTATACAGGCGGAGAAGGATTACGCTCTCGGACCGCTAGAGAAAGGGAAGTTTTTAGTGTGGTTTGAACCTACAGAGCTCGGTGTGCAGCATTGTAGAATTTCATTCAATTCCGATATTGCTGGCGAATTTATGTAAGTTTATTTACGACATTTTTAATGTAGATTAATTACTGATTTAGATATAGTATATTATACAAGTAGGTAATGTTTTTACCTATATTACGTAAATAATAAATACATTTGTGTTTGTTTACAGATTCAATATAAAAGGAACTGGTACTGATCCGAAGCCTAGAGGCCCATATGAAATAATAGCTGGCTCGTCTACAATTATAAGGTTCAAGAACATTTTCGATGATACAAAAATGTTTAAAATATACGTTGATAGAGATGAATTTTATGTGAAAACTCTGTATGAGCCTATTAGGCCTAAGAAGGTAAATGAATATACCGCTAAACTGTTTATTGTTGAGAGTTGCTAACTTTCAAGAACCTTGACTGTACGGAATTTTACTTTGATTCAAATCAAATTAATTTCTAATATAGCTATTATTATTCGGCAGGAATTGAGGATACAGGTGTCCTTAATTGACAGGCCGATATCAGGATGGTCAGTTATGCCTACTGGCACTCTCACCATCGAGAACTGTGAGCCAACAACTCCTAAGGTGCACTGGACATACTTCCTGCAAGGCGTACTTTGATACGGATTGTGAAAGCCATTTTGTGTTCTGTCTCTTATTAGTATTGGATTTTTGTTCATTATTACATTTAATTATTATAATAATAATATACACAGATTTAATTATAACATTATTTTATTTTCGTGATTAATTATCATTACCAGTCGCTTACACTGAATTCTTGTACAATGTCACCTTTATCTTCCACTGGTTCTTCGTCGACCTCCATGGCCTTCTTCTTGGTTGGCTTTTTCTTTTCCATCTTTTCTTTCTTTTTTACTTTTTTCGCCTTTGGAGCGGGTGTGTCATCGTCGTCTTCTGCCTTAAAGTGGTCGCCCTCATCCTCATCGTCAGATGGGAACAACTCTACAGGACCCTTATTTTCTTTTTGAGCGTTTTGAATTGCTTCATCAGTAAGTTTCGGCCTTTTAATCTTGGGCAGTTCACCAGCAATTTCGTCATTCTTAGTAATCTTCTTACGTTTTTGAATTTTGTTGATCTTGCTCCAATTTTCGTAGAATGTTTGCAATGGTGTTCCTTTAGTTCTGATGTTAGTTTCCCAAGCTACAATCATTTTCTCGTCACTCAAAGAGAAACTAATTTTGGCTCTCTCTCGCTCTATGAATTTTGAGTTTTCCTCGATTTTTTCGAGTAATTGACGCATTTTTTTAGTATAGTTCGATACTGAACATGTCTTCAAGAACTGTTTTATCTGTAACAATAAAGTAATTCGCATGTTATTGGTTCTTTTAAACTATTGATTAAGTTGTACACAAGATTACATCATAAAAATAAGTATTTAAATTTGTTAAGAGGATAAGTTCACTTTAATATATCATAGTTGTAATTGAACATACCTGCATTACACCTAGTAGTGTTAAATCAGGGAAAGCGATAGTGTGTGATTCATTGGCTGTGTACTCTAACAGGAGGGCGTATATTCTCTCTATCACAGAGTCTTTGAACCCATTCTCCATCAGTTGTGACTTTGCCAGTCTCAGAATGCATGAAAAGTCCAGGGGCTTCATTGAAACCTTCTTGTGTTTCTTATTGAAGTCAAAACTGGTTAAAACCTGTAATTAAATACAAAATCTTAAATATTTTACAGAATTCCAAGAATTATTTAATTTTTATCAATAAGATTGATAGTTACCTCAACAAGGAATGGTAATACAGGGACAAAGTTGTTGGATTCTTTTGATAGATTTATCAGAATCTCAACACAATGGAACCGGAGAGGATAATATTGATGTGTGGGCACAAGTTTAATAGTGTTAGTAGTGATCATCACCAGAGGATAGATCAGTGGCTGCAGTTGTGGCTTATTTGATGTTGCTCCAAGTAAGTCTGCCCACAGATGTAATGAATTCACATATTGCCAATTGTAAACAGCTTGTCTGTTCTCAATCTTTTGTACAACAATAGCATTTCTCAAGTGTATAGCCAGCTGTCGGATGTATAAGAAGACATGTTGGTATGAAACATTTAGGTCCAATGAAAACATTTCCACAAGTGATCTCCTCATGAAGTTGATGCCTGGCCAGGTGGAGGGGCTGACGAATTTACAGTTTTTAACATAAGTCAAGTACATGGCCTTTAGTACTTGATCGAGTAATGCTGACTGCTGGTTCCTGGTTATTCTCAATATGCAGAGGAAGGCCAACACTCTCACAGTCTCTTCACCAGTGCTCCAGAAAGTTAGGAGCTTCTTCAGAGCTTGTTTAGCTATCCTAATGAAGCAAGCTACATAAACAGACATTTGATGCAAATGTTTCAGTAACACTGTCAATATATTCTCAGATGTTACACCTCCAAGCAATTTCAGTAAATCACTGAGGTAGGAAATCAAGTGAGTTTTAATCTTAATAAAGTGTTTGCATTTCTGTGGATCCTTGCTAGACTGTTCCATGCCTAGATATTTTCTAATTGCTCCTGGCAAGTAGAGGACACACATTTGTATCACAGCATTAAACACCGAGGAACCTGTACACAACAAACAAACCACATTAGTGAAAAGAATAACAATAAGATATTGTTAAGATAATCAATATTGTAAGAAACAAGTAGAAATGTAATAAAATATACCTTCAACTTTATACTCTCCCGCTGACTCTCCATCCTCACTTGTGGCCCTTATCATGGCTGCATTGAAAGCCTTTATGACAGTAGTTATTGTTGTCAACTTTACTTTGACTTCATTTTGTAGTTCTGCTTGCCACTGGGCAACCATTTTAAGGGTGATTTTTCCCTGAACTGGTTTTGCATCTTCATCCTGTAAAGATAACAAAATGCAAAGTTTAATTCAAAGGATATATTTAGACTTATTAGCTCAAAATTATTTCTTAATAATTAAATGTTACCTCAAAGTCGCTTTCATCACTGTCAGCCCTGAGTGGGCCTGGTTTGTGAACTTTTTCATCATCATCTTCCTTGTCTGATGCATCATCACCAGACTCCACATCGAAATTCAACAAATTTTCATCATTCTCCTCCAAGAAATTATAAAAATCTGGATCTGTTTTCTTTAGTTTCTCCAATGATTTCTTGTGAGTTTCGGGATCTAGTTCTTCTTCTGAATCTGGTTCTTGTTCTGACTCTGGTTCTTGTTCTGATTCTGGTTCTTGTTCCGACTCTAGTTCTTGTTCTGACTCTAGTTCTTCTGAATCTATAATTCATAATTTCTATAATGTTAGTTCATGAAACATTTTCTTTCAACAATCCTAAATTGGTTATGAATGTTCATGCAACTGTGTTACAATTTACACTGGACACATACAATCACAATTAGGTGTCAATAATATAGTCCAGGTTTCTGAACAATTTAGTCTAAAATACAGGAAATAGAATTTGTATGATATGTAAAACATCTACATCAAATGCAATCAATTACACCATAATTAAAATTTTGAGAAATATTTATCGTATACGACTGTACCACGACTTGCAACTAACCTGAGTTTTCAGAAGATTCTGCCTCCACGGGTGCTTTATTCTTTTTCATTATGTCTATTCACAGTAATATAACAAATAAGAAAATAAATTTATAATATCCACGTGCTTTTCGGCATGCATGGAATAAACAAATTACATGTCACGTAAAATGTCATTCCGATTTTGACATATACTTGCCTGACAATGACATAACAACTGACATTAGTAGAGTTGCGCTCATTACTTATTACTAACAAGCATGGGAACCATAAATTATAATACTACTATAACTGGAAACGAGAATGTTAGTAACGTGCGTGTGCGTGCTGTGTACAACCAGCTGAAAATTCGTAAAAACGCGTAGGTTGTCTTTTGCAGCATTGCAGTTCCGCAGTTCCACAGAAAACAATAATATAGTTCGAGAAAGTTACAGAAAAATCTTACGAATACGATCATTGATCATTGATTGTGTGTTCGATTTGAGATTTGACCATCTGAAAAGTGGTAAAAAGTCAAACGTAATATATCAAAATATTTTTTAAGTTTTGATTTGACATTTCATTGCAGAAAAATTGGCAGACACATACAAATAAATCCGTGCTGAAAAAATTGTGAGTTTCACGTATTTAGAATTGATATTAAGTATTATTTCTTTAAATTACAGTAACTTTAAATATTTTATAAAAGGCCGAGATGTTTTATAGTCTTCTAAATGTGTATTCCATTTTATTCTAGATTGCATCATGTTGTCGCGTATGTGCGTAGCACGATCCACCATCAACGTAGGCTATACCCTCAAATCATCAGTTCCCAGTAATTTTGTACCAAAGAATTATGTAGTGCGGTGCTATGCACGAGCACCAGGACCCCGTACTAGAGTTGCTTCTCAATCACAAGCATCATCACTATGGTCTCGACTGATGGCCCCAGCTGGACCTAATGGTAAATAAACCTTATTATTGTTACATTTTTAAATTCTTGAAGTAGAGGTAATGCAAAATAAAAGTAAGTGCTAATGATGTAATATTAAGAACATAATTTGTTTTCTAGCATTCAGCATGGGAAAAGGTGCTTTGGCGGGGGCATCAGCTGTTGGCTTGGGCGCACTTTGTTATTATGGTTCAGGTATAAGGCCCGGTGTGTGCACAGAAGCACAGTAAGTAATAATTATTTGATTTACATTATTTTCTGTTTAACTCGTCGAGTACCGTCATTATAGACACAATTATAGAACAATAGGTTGCGGTCACCGGTGACCGCTTGGTGTTTGACAGTTTAAAGGAAAATGTTTGCTGGAAAGCTTAACTTTTCCAATTGAAATCAGCTAGAGTTAAAGTTGCTGAATTTTATCTCATACTGATGTGTTTTAATTCTTCTATGAGTTCATTGTAGTTTTTAGACTTTGGTAAATGATATGTAAGTTTTGTGCACTTATACCTACTAATATCTAAAAACTGAAAAATTACATCATTTTTGCATAAAGACTGCAATCTTATTTATTTTGATAACCACAATAACAGTTGAATTAGATTATTATTTTATTAACTTACTATACAATACATATAAAATTTTGCTCAATAAAATTTGTTTTCTATTTTCAGTCTCTGGCCACAATATGTGAAAGATCGCATTAAAGCAACATATGGGTACATTGCTGGTTCCATAGTCTTAACTGGGGGTAGTGCCTACACAGTATTCAGAACACCTGCACTATTAAACCTAGTTGCAAGGAATGGGTGGATGGTAAGTGTATGAATTATTTTCAGTTTCATGCTACTGTGACATTATTAGCTATAATAACTACTTTGACCAACAAATTTTTATAGCCATTGTAGATTTAAATTTTTCAATCAAATTAAATACATGTGTATGTAAATGTTATCCTATTTCAGTCCATCATAGTGACTCTAGGCATGATGATTGGCTCTGGAATGGTTGTGCGAGGTATGGACTACACACCCGGGTTTGGTGCCAAACAATTAGCTTGGATAGTACACACTGGTATAATGGGTGCTGTCATTGCACCTATGTGCTTCCTAGGCGGCGCTGCTCTTACTCGTGCTGCTTGGTAAGATATTTTAGAATTTTTGTAATGTACTAAATACAATAAAGCTCTCTAACTCGTCGAGCACCGTCATTATAGACACAATTAAAGAACAATAGGTTGCGGTCACCAGTGACCGCTTGGTGTTTGACAGTTTAATTTAGTGTATTTAAATATGTTTTGTTTCCAGGTACACAGCTGGTGTGGTAGGCGGTCTAAGCACAGTTGCAATCTGTGCTCCATCGGGTGAATTCTTGAACATGCGCGCACCACTGGCCATGGGTCTAGGGGCCGTATTTGCTGCATCTCTGGCCAGCATGTTCGTACCACAAGCTACTGCACTTGGAGCAGGTATATTCAGTTTTTATTACAAACTACAAATACTATGTTAATTTGTGCAGTAACTAACCAATAATGTGTTTTTAAAATTATACTTCCTGAAATACAATCAGTATATTTTGCACTAACATACACAGCACTAACTATGTTCATATTTCAGGACTCTATTCAATCAGTTTGTATGGTGGTCTGATAGTATTTGGCGGTTTCCTATTGTACGACACACAAGCTATTGTCAAACGCGCTGAGGTTCACCCCATGTACGGATTACAGCCCTACGACCCGATAAACTCGTAAGTACATTTGAATAACCTTTGGTCATTTTTTTGTCTTGGAGAATTTTTAATCAGATTAGTTATCACTGCAATTCGGTATATCAACAATTTGTTGTACTGATATAAATTTTGTTTTGCAACAATCCATCGACAATGTAAATCATGTCCATTTTTTATTTTGGCTTTGACGGGAATGTGTCTAAATATATTGTCTATTGTTACAGAGCTATTTCGGTATACCTTGACATCATAAACATCTTCATGAGAATTGCCATCATCATGTCTGGAGGCGGCGGCAACAGGAGGAAGTAAAAGTATGGAAACTGGCTAGTGCTTTCATATTATAATTATTTGCTGTAAAAAAATCGAACAAAACAAAATTGTTGGTAGACAGCAGAAACTTAGGAAATAAATAAATATAATGTTGTTGACTGAAACAAATTAATACTGAATGTGATATTATTGTTGTGTAGTCAGTAAGTTGGTGTATGTCGTATTATTATTTGGCATTAATAAATGGACAAGTAGTCGTGATTGACTTTTTTTATACCCTAATGTTTTATAAAATTACAATAAAAACTAACAGTCGCAAATTCAAGATTTAAGAAAGACAATTTAAGAAGTTGTCTTAGAATGCTTGGTATTAGTGATTGAACAGTGTTAAATTGAAAAAGAATGAAATCGCACTAATACTACTGATTACACAACAGATCTGAATTACAAACTGTAGAAACAAACAGGTAATTATTTATTCAAATTATAGAATTCACAGTATTCAAAAACAACACCTGTAGTTTCTTTATCCCTTGTAGCTTACAATAAATAAGAATTTTACCCACGACAAGATATTCCTTGATGTAGGTAGATACAACACTCTTTTGAACAATTTCATTATCCATAGTGACCGCATCGTTATTGTATAGTCGGTCGGATTAAAATCCTCAATTTTTTTTTGCAAGTTAATTAGTAGGCCGTTACTTAGTGTGGTTTTAGATCCCCAGTGACAGTACGGAAATAAAACAAAATTTTGATACAGCGCTCGTCATTTTTCTACAGTCGTGTCTCATCAGTGCACTGTGTTCCATGTAGGTATCTTGAAACAGCACGTACGTTTGCGCACATAGATACTGCACTACAATATTCTCATGCGCAGTTCACCAAGGGCTCGTACACAAAACTGCATGCGACGTCGCATCGCAAAAATGTGCGAGCTCCCTCTACGCATCGCAAGAACTTGCGAAATGATTCGCATCGCGCATCAAAATCTTATCTTCCCAAAATCTTGTTTCTTTTTCCTGTATCTCCTAAACAATAACATAAGTGTACACTTCTTTTCAGTATACATGTCACGACCTAGTTTTCAATTTAAAATACGTTTAGTACGGTTGACGGTCGTCAAAGGAATGGTCACCCTGGGAGACGCCTTGTCGCACGAAATCGCATCGCAGCAATTCGTATCATAATTTTCTGCGTTGCGAATTCGCATCGCAGTTTTGTGTACATACGAGCCCAAATAGGTATCTGTTTTGTTTGGTCGCCAAATTCAGAATTGGCGACCAAAAGACATTGGTTCATATATTTATCGACTACTAGCTGACCCGGGAAACGTCGTACCTACTACCTAAAATTATTTCTCACCTTTTGAGCCTTCCCTGTACTTCCACGAACATTTCAATACCAATAGATTTGGTTCAGCCGTTATCGAGTCTTAGCGAGGCTAACAGATATTCATTTTTATTTATATAGATTTAAAAAATAAAACAAATTCACGTTTTAAATATTGTTTATTTACATGACTAAATTGCAGCATTTACAATCAGTAATCAATTAAAATGGAATATGCATTTGATTTTTAAGTAAATACAAATATAGATTGCATAGGCCTGCCAGCAAGCAACTTTTTGATGAGAATTTACGTAGGATTGAAAGAGGACTAGAATTCTGCCATAGTAAATTCGATTGTAAATAAGAAATGTAACAAAAATAATACGTTTTTAAATCTCTTACATTTTACCCAATACAAATAAATAATACGCATTGCGGAATGCAATTAAACATAAGATCCTATTTATTATAATAACAACGCAAAAGCTTTAGTTTATTGTCGTAAAGTACATAAGAAAAATAAAATATCACAATTATTCATTAAATAAAGGCTCTTTGGAATTATAATTAACATATTTAATACTAAAAACTACAGATTCAATAATAGTATTGCTGCTCTTTTGATAGTTATAAATATAAGGTAAGGTGAATTCATATTAAATGCACATAATTTTGGAAATTATTAGCAGTCAATATTATAGGTAGTACGTGATACATAATTTAATTTTAGACATAATAGTAATGAATAGTAGTTGCCGTAGAATAAGTACCTGAATTTGGAGTTAATTTAACGACTACGATCGTATAATGGTCCAACTTAAATAGTTGTTATACCTACAAGAAGTTGGACACGCGCATCAAAGTTCATATAATAATTTATTTGATAGAAAATTGGGATTAAATAGTTCATTACTATCATTGTAATTCTTACACTACTGGTGTTTTATTACGTACATAAATATAATTATAATAATGACCAAAAATATTATACCTTATGAGCAATAAAATTATTACACGAGATCTTTCCGTCCTTATATTAAGTAGTTATATCGCCAGTCTTATGTGCTTGCTGCTTCAAATAAATCGCATACATTTGTCGCGCCTGGTTCAGTACCCTGTTAACGTTGTGTTTACGAACCATTTTGTCGAAATGCATCGCGAGCTCGTTGTAATCCATGCGGTTCCTCATGATATAGTCGCGGTGTTGCAACAACACAGTTAAACAAAGGAACATCAAAAATGGATTTCCACCTCCGAACAGTGTCGGCGGTGGAAGGCTGCTAATGCTCGTCTTAGCCGAGTTGTCGCTGGACACTGATGAAATGCTAGCAGTTTTTTGCATCGGAGGTTTAAATACCTCGTACTTTTTCTGAAAACTGTTTATAGTTGACGCAACACTGTGTAGGTTCGTTTGTTTGGCATTTAAGAGAGATTCGCAGTTCTTTTTTGCGTTTTCTAATTCTTGGGACATACTTGAGAAGAATTTCTGCGACCTCGATGTGTTAGAATTATTCGGTAGATTATTTTTTATTGTTTCTACGTTTGTTGATTCCCCGATGTCCTTTTCAGATTCCGATCCACTAGAGTGCGTATTAGAATGTTTAGTATCGCGATATACTTCTTGGGGCTCTAATGACTGATTTTTTCTTAGTAATCTTATTGGTGTAATGGATTTTTTACCAGAATGCTCCTCAAATATTTCTCCGGTGTCTCCATCGAAGTCCAATTCCGCCTGTTCATCAGGTGTCTGCGGGCAACTCGCTGTAGTTCGTGTCGTCGGCGTATTCCTATGTAATGGATTCTCCCATAAATAAATGTCTTCAGCGCTCCTCGCATTAGATCTAACAGTTTCAAGCAAAGGTGATTTCTTTGTGGTTTCTAGTACATGCGGTCGAGTTTCCGTTGAGTTTACTTTGAGATCCTGTTTGATCTCAGTACAATCATGTGTTGGTTTGTCGTCCGTGCTAGTAGAGTCTGAAGGAGAGTCGTACATCATGCTGCATCTGTTAATATACGAAGGGCCAAATACTTGTCTGTCCAAATGTTCCAATTCAAGTCTTAATTCTCTAGTCATAGACGTCGTCATGGGGTAGTACTCTTGTGAATCATCGGGACTGCTGCCATCATTTGCGTCTGAACAAATGTTTTTATTAATTTTGCTACTTTTATCAGATTTCGAATGATGCACCCTCACATCGTCGAGCGATGTTTTAGTGAGAGTTATTCTCGGACATTCCTTGGAGCTCCGCTCTATAACAGAATGAGTTCTTTGTAACTTCTCCTGTGTTACCGCACCTACTTTACTACCTGTCGCAAAGTTCAGGAATTCGTTGAGATTTTTAATCATTTTTACTTTCGGTTTGCTCGATGATTCTATGCTAACAGACTCAGAGTCGAGCTTGTCGAGAGAAGAGAAGAATTTGTTATTATGTACGGATATCTTATCACGCAATAATCGTATTTGGTTCCCTAGAGGAGTATCCTTTACGTCTCCGTGTGACGTACCGTTCATCAAGTTCCCAGTACTGGACCACGCGGTAGCATGAGCCTCTTGTGCTGACGGAGTTTTCTCGTGTTCTGGAACACTTTTCATACTCCTTCTGGTCTGAACTTTATTTGATTCTTTAGGTGATATACTATTTTCTTTATTTTTCTCAGCGTCATATCTATCTAACTTCGGTTTCTGTGCCTGTAGAGTAGCATCATCTAAACTTTGGAATTCTTTCGCATGTTTTAATGACGAATTGGTTACAACGTGACGTGTGGCGTTTTCGTCTAAACTGTGGTTCATTTGCTTACACGTGGCTAGTTTCGGTGCCTTAACGTTGGCGAGGCTGAAGCTTGAGCTCTGTCGTCTAATGGCGCATACTTTGGTGTATGCATTTTCTCGAGGAGCTTTTATCAAGGGGCTTAATGGAGGCGGATCGTCATCAATTTCGATTGCAGGATCGAATTCTTTTTCCTTAAGAGATAAGTCGGTTATCGGAGTCTTTTGAGGTAATGAAGCCCATAAGACTTCGAGCATTCTTAGGGCATCATCAAAGGCGAATTCTCGTTTCATTTCTAATAGTAACCAGCGATAGCAGAAGAGTAAGTCGTCAGCTTGTTGGGACTTTAGGTAGTTGTAGAAGTCGGGATCGTAGACTTGCAGCGATTCAGTCAGGTGGGAGAACTTTAAGGTCATGGCCTCTCCATCGAGTAAGAAGTTTGGGTACAAACGAGTCATTAGTGCACACAGACATATGTAGGCGTGTGCTTCGTCCCCCATAGTGACAAGCAACGGCGATGCTAGGTCGGACATACCTTGACAGTAGCTTACTGTAGGGTGGTTCAGGGCGTACCTGTCGGGATAAAAAGAGAAATCATTAACTCGTCGAGTACCGGTTTTGTAGACACAATTATAGAACAATAGGTTGATGGTGTTTGACAGTTTAATGTTCCATTCAAAACAAAGATTGAAAAATAATAAATAGTCTTTTCATTCTTTGTGATCAATACTGTATATTATCTTTAATAGGTATACAACTTACGTAGTAAGTATATTGAAGAGTGAGGCAATATTCTGGTTGTCATCACTGCCGGCGTAGAAGTTGTGATGTCTGTCTGTACGTAACACGTCTTTGCGAACCATTCCAGTCACGTAAGCTAAGTCAGCATTTACCTACAAATAAACACAAGTAACGTAATTAACATTTGGTGATACCTAGTCAAGGACGCATCGATCTAACGAAGATGTGAATAAGATCTGTAGGTCTACTCCGGTTCTCGAATGCGAAGTTTCGTTTGATTTGCGGCGGCAAACAACGTTTTCGGAACCATAGACAACTTTCGTGAACTACAATGAACGAATGAAGTGAAGATAAATAAATATGCAATAAGTAGGTTTAGATTCAAAATTAAATATAAAATTTTATTTTAAGCAATTATATTACTAAAATAATAATGCCATGGCTTAGCACACATAATCATCAAGAAAATCATGAATAATCTTTTAATATTAACGTTTAAGATGGAAAATCTTAAACAGGATAAGAACCTCCTTTCAGAAATTTATTATACGACCAAATAAAAAAGTTTTAGAATGTTGTTTTATTGTCATTTATTGACATTTATGTATAAAATAATGCCAACCAAATTTATTCGTATTATATTAGTACAGTCAATTTCGTGTTATGATGAT